GTAATATACGGGCCTCTACACTAAGCAACCCCATCGTGTAGTGAATGTTCCGCCCACGTCCGATATCAGGCCTCCTAGCCTCCTCCACAGCATCACCTCGGGAAAAACCAGGAAGTGATACACTGCTATCTGCGTCATACTCCACAGTCTGCGAAGCATCAAAGTCATAGTCCAATATCTCCAACCATACCGGAGCCGTCATGATGATGTCCACACTGCAGACCCTCGACCTCAACTCACCCTGTACGTAGCTGAGGTTATGGTAGAAGGCCCGCACCATGAGCTCTGAATACGGATACGACATCTCAGCCAAAACCCTAAGATGTGCTGCCTCCAACAACGCCACAATTTGAAATCCCTCTGCCATAAAAAATGTTGTATCCAATGATTTCGGAGGACATAAGGGTCGGTTCACATGGTCACGTACAAATGCAGCGTGAACCGAGGGGTCATCCTCAAACAAGTATCCAAATGGGAAGTCCACAGTAGCAGGTCACGTACAAATTTCGTGCGTCTCTCACCTTCGGCATTGCTTGATCTTCTACGGCCATCCATTTTAACAATCGTACCTACAATGCAAGTGGAAAAATAAGACAAGAAAGGTAAGTGAAAAACTCACAATCAGAGAAAATAAATGGACACAATTTTATGTTGTTTGTGATTTAAAAAAATTCAAAATCATGAAAGGGGCAAAATGAGTTCCAAATCCCTAATGTGTATCTCCATGAAATAATGTCAATAACTCAAGACATAAAACATAAAAAAACGTTCTTCCATAAAACAGAAAAAAATCCAGAAACAATATCATGTACAAAAAAAAATAAATAACCAAAACATAAAACATTTCTGAAAATGAAAGTGCCAAAACGTTACCTAGCCACACAGTTTCACGAGGTGCAGCGATTTGATGGTGCAATCGACAGTCCAGGGGGAGGGGTTTGGGTCGGTTCTTGATGGGGTTCGATTTTGGGGTTTGGAGGCTCCCTTAATCGACTAGGGTCCCTATGCGAAATGGAGGGGTTTTTTAAAAACGTTTTCAGAGACATTTAATCGACTACATAACATTTTTAGTCGATTAAATGTCCCAAAATTTAATCGATCAAGCTGGCTTTTTAATCGATTATATTTCGGGGAGCATTTTTTCTGTATTTTCACTATTTAGTCGATTAAAAGTTCATCTTAATCGACTAAAAGGGGGTAGGATAGTGGATAGTTCTGGAAGATGGACAAATTAGTTATTAATTAATTAATGAGGGGCAAAAGAATAAAAAAACCCATGTACACAACTAATAAATAAGTATCCATTGTTCAATTGGATGCTAATATTTTTATGGAAAAAGTTCAAATACCCCCACGTGGTTTTCTTTTGAGTCACTTACCGCCCTATGATTTTTTTATTTTTTTTATCATTTATCCCCTTATGCTTTTTTCCATACAAGTCTCTCATTAACAATATTAAAGTTTCTATCTAATTTGACTATTCTACCTTTCTTACAAAAATACATTTCACTTTGTAATAATGAGTTTGAGGTGGAGAAGATTTACTGCATAAGAATGCCATGATTGAAGGTGTAGTAATGGGGACTTTCGTATCTACATACAGTGACAATAAAAAGATAGGATTGCTATAGACGCCATTACAGGAGCAGCAGTTGATAAATAGTTTACAATGCAACAGTTGATAAATAGTTTATAATGACCAATTAGGGGCGAGTGCAATTGTATATAATTGTGCAGGTAGCATAACTCATATTAGTCATCATATACTTTATTTCTTTCTTTTTTTGAAAAATAAAAAATAAAAAATACATAATCAAAGACTAGCAGATAAGATAAAATTGCTAAGAGCCTCCAATCAAGTTTATATTTCAGGAAAGAATGGAATTGGTATGGTCATTGTTTCTTTCTTTTCACTTTATCACCTTCTTTATTTTCCTTAAATTGATTGTTAATGCATTGATTTTCAGGTAGCAAATATGAAGTATACGAAGAAATGTCCTAACGATGCAGACATAGAATTCCTGTACACACAATCCCATAGTTAAATGAAGTTCGTTTTGTTGGGAAAACTCGGTTCCCTCAAATCGGCTCAGGGGCCTTTGTGCGGAAGTCAATCAACAAGATCCTGATCTCGGATCTCGGCAATACCTCGGCCTGAACTTCACCAGGTCGGGTAGCGCAGCGGAAAAATCAAAATGTAAACACGGGAGAGAGAGAGAACACAAGCAATTTTTAACGTGAGAAAACTTTCTCCAATGAAGAAGTAAAAAACCCTCGGGACCTAGTTCAGATCAAAAATTCACTATGAAAATAATGGTTACAAAATAATCAGAATACACCAATGTGGTGGTTAACTCAATCTCTCCAACAATGGTGATAATCAAACTACCCTAGAGATGTTTCACTCAAACTCTCTCTAGAGATCTCTCAAATGCAAAGCATAAAGCTTTGCTCAAACAATCCAATAATTATCTCTCAAATTTTCTCTCTCATTCTCTTAACCTAGCCTCCACCCACAACTAATGAATATATAGAGGAGGTGAGATCTAGGGTTAGGGTTTTTAGAAAACCCCTCAATGGGCTTGGGCTTAACATTGAAGGTGGAAGCCCAACACGTTTGACTAACATAGCAAATAGCAAGGTGCAAACCAGGTCTTAATAGATCAAATCAATTATTTGGGTGGTGCGAGTGCAATAATCTAACAAGGCAAACTTGACCTGCAATTCAATCTTAGCACCCTCAGTGATAAGCTTAGCAGCAGTTACCAACCAAAGGCCCGGAGCATCATGGGAAGTTTTAGTGATAAAGATAAAATAGTTATATTAATTAGAAACTCTAACATTGCTAATGAGAGACTTGGATGAAAAAAAACATAAGGAGATAATTGATAAAATAAAATAAAGATGTAAGTGATTTAATTAATATCTAAACATAATAACTTCACTAATAATGAGAGATTTAATTAATATCATTTAAAGACAAACCATAGGAGGGTATTTGAACTTTTTCCTATTTTTATTGGACCCTCCTTGACTCTGGCAACATAGGAAATAAGGATCATCCATGCTCATGGAAATATGCGGAAAGTTCATTTAATCAAACGGTACATTTAATTTTTATCTAAATCCGTGAATTGATTATCGACAGAATATTTCATCAATAAAACGGTCACTAACACATTATTTGAAAGGGATAATATATTGTAATAATCAATTAGTGTTACTACTAATCAATTTCATCGTTAGATCATCTATGTTGATCGAACAATTATATTTATTTCTATTTTTGTATGGTTATGATTCCCCATATTTAATGTGAAAGCATTAAATATGAAAAATCATAATCACATAAAAGTGAAAATAAATATAAAGTATTAAATATGGAGAAATCATAACTATACAATAATAAAAATAAATATAATCGTTAGATCAATATAATTAATCTAATGATAAAATTGATTAGTAATAATATTAATCAGTCAATAATTTTAAGATTGTAGGTTTCTTCTTTTACCGAAAAAAGTTATAACCGACTCATGAAATTGTGAGATCCATCAAATTAAAAAAAGAAAAGAAGAAGGCTGATTGGACTTTTGTTTGTTTGCACAGGAGAGGATAGTTTCTCCGACAAGAAGAGAGACTCCTTCCCAATAATTTTATCAACGATTTTATAAGAGTTATGTTGTAAAAAAAGTGATTGTGTAATGTTATAGAAATTCGTTTTGCGTGCCGTAATTTTTTTTTTTTTTTCTTCAAAAAATGTGAGCCTCACAAAATATTATGCGTAAAATTTTTTATTATGTCATGTTAAATGACAAATGCAAACTCTTTTTATCAAAGTCTTGACGAAGTTTTTTCGTCAATAATTTTTATCGATGATCTGGACATTTTTAACAGTGTGATCCTTTACTTTTTCTTTTATGTTTAGTTTCTTATTTCTTTTCTTAACAAGTACCTAGTAGCATAAGGACAAAATAAAAATTATGCATGAGTTTCACTTAAACTATTCATGAATGCTCCGCGAGGAAGGAATATTTTATTCCTTATGTGCTGCACAACCTAATTTTGTTAACACACCCATAGCAATATATAACTGTTACAACTTCCAAGAGTATACTCGTGGGCCACGAGGAGCCCAACCTCATTCTTTTTATGTTTTGCGATGACTTTATAGATGTTAGTCTTTGTAATGGCTTCTAAATAGCTTAGTGCTTATTGTTTTACCAAGCCTATATATCTTAATTTTCAGCCACCAAATTCAACAACAGATGTGTCTTAGTATCTGTTTCAGTATTTTTAATGAAAATCAATTGCATATCTCAAATTACCTTCGCAAGCCCCTTTAAACTGACAAACCAATGTAGAAACAATTTAAGGACCTTCTTTTACTATAGTTTTTTTTTTTTTGTAATTCTTTTACCATAGTTAAAACTTCACATGTTTGACTATGCTACTTCATTTATCTTCCTCCTGTCCCTCAAGAAATTTATTAAAAAAAAGGAAAGGAAATAACAAAATGGGTGAACTAAACGAACAACCAAACCAAGCACTTCAGTTAAGTTATATCTAAAGATGTATATATTCAAACATGTTATCTAAATATGTTCAGCCAATTTATCTAAGAATTTCTATATTCAAATATTTTATCTAAACATAATAACTTAACTAAAAGGGTGAAAAGGATATAAAGCCAAATATAAATCGATTTTAGAAACCATTTTTACGTTTAGATTAATATCACTTCACACGCTACAAGTAATCACCAGAGAAATGGTTTTGAAAAAAAGAAAAAGATAGAGAAAGAGAGAGAGAGGAATAATAAGACAAGAGAGGGAATACATGAACACCAACAAGCAGATGCAAAGAAGGGAACACATCACAAGAATTATTCAAAGTTAGCATTGAGATTTTATTTTCAACTACAAGCAGAGAACTCATCACAACAAGAGCTATGATTGCATTCATTCAACGCTATTTACTTTACCCATGAGATATTTCATTCAAACTACGGTCCTAATCCCACCAGTGAAATCAGCATCTACAAACACAACTTCAAAGGGTTCATGCTCAGTCAGATTCAGACGTCTTCCACCTTCACCATTATCAAAACGTCCAATATCCAAACAAGTTGGAGAGCCAGAGACACAGAACACAAGCTTATAACCCCTTTTGTATTTCTGAATGTGAAACTTTCCACTCAGAGTCTGTTCTCCTGGATGGTCTTCAGGACCACCAATACCCACACATGCCTTTTGAATATGATTATCAACAAACACCAACCATTTTGATGATTCAGCACAATTAGGCTTCTTTTCAAATGCAATATCCAATGGTGTGCCTGTAAAAATAATACCAGGGCTTATTCCTGGTATGCTGAATTTCACTGGCAACCCTTTGATAACCTCAGAATAATCTTGCAATACAGTAACTGGGCACTTTGAGTTCCCAGTTTTGCCAAGTCTTACTCCACCACCAGGTGGACCAAAGATAGCTGGCAGAATGTAGTATTTTCCACCTGGAAAAATGGGATTTCCATTTATGTCCAGAACTTGTTCAACATCATCTGAGAAAGCTAATGGAAGCTTTGATATGAAGGCAAAGAGGAGGAAGGAGAGGGTAAATAGTGTAGGTTTCATGGTTTAAAGCTAAGGATGTTGTTGTACTTGTGTCTTGTTCTGTTCCCTCTGCCTCTCTACTATATATAGAATTTTTAAGAGGTACTTAATGTGATGACAGTGATGTGGATGCAGGAAGTGACTCATATATGGATAAATTTTGAGTATTATAATACATGCCAACATAGGAAACATAGCAAGTAAAGATCTTCCATGCTTGTCACAACCTTTACCTTTCCTTTTAAGTTAGTCTTTAGAAATTATATCCTCCACAAGTGGAGGTTATCTTTACAATTTTTTTTGTTTACAACCTCAATTATATTCTCTCAGAAGAATACTATCTATTAGTGTTTTTTCAAAAGAACATAATTAAAATTGTAAGAGTTGTAAATAAAAAAAAAAATTGTAAACGTAAGCTGCCTCCTACACAATGCACTGCTGCATCTTTCGAATTAAGTGCATTCAATGTTTGTCCGAATATAGATATTGTTTCCCAAATTTGCAATTAACTAATATTTTTTATGTTTGCTCAAAACAAGATTTGAAATTTTATTTAAAGTATATAGGCTCATTTATAATTTTAAATTATAGAAATACACTTTTTTTTAAAAACAAAATGTTATGAATCGGACACATAGACTCAATTTATTGGGCTAGTCGTTAAGGCTCGTATAAGAGGAGATAATTATACTCTCGTTACACTAAATCTCACTTCTCATGCACATGTACCTTATCCACGAGATAAGGATGCTTGTCTCACACCTATTAAGGTCCATTATCGCAAATCAGTTGAGGCTCTCTCTCACTCATCATTGGAACATTTTTTACTTATATATACGTCTCTTCATTCAAGAGACACATTTTTTTTTTTTTTATAACACATTTTTACTCCATTGAAATACAGTCACAAGAGCCATTATTTTCTCTTCATACTCTGCATTTGCCGGAGACCTATATGTAATGACTCTCCTATTGAATTTAGATATATACCTTTATCTCACTAAGTTATTGTTCTATTGAAATATTGCCCTAGAGAAAAACAAATTTATTATCAATTGTTGAGATATATAGTCCCACATTAGTTATATATGTAAAATGTGAAATTTATAAGGTCTTAAATGATGTATCCCAATGTTCTTTATAATTATGAGAATACCGAACACTCAGTACATCTTTTATTAAATATAAAATAATATATTTATACTACATTTATCTTTATAATTATTTTTCCTCGTATCATTTTTTTTTTCTTTTTTAACAAGGGAGTAGGTACTCCCGTAGCTGACAAAATGTGCTTCTTACCAACATAGTTACACTTATTTTTAGTAATCCCATGAGCTACACGTCACAAGGAGGGGAGCACAACTTCCTTTTTTAATAACTAAACAAGATTTAAATAACAGACATTGGAAATAAAATTATTCATGAGCTCCTTTGTGGATAACTCAACGTTTTCTTTTTTTTTTTCTTTAAGAAACACGTAGGTATAAGGAGAAAACAAAAATTAAGGCATGAGGTCCACGAAGACCATACGACTTTGTTGATGTAGAAAATTGTAATATTAAATTATTGATGTATGTTCCGCGAGGGAGTAGTAGTTTATTCCTCCGCGTGGTGCACAACTTATTTTTTTTTTTTATATTTGTTAAAAGTTCACCTCGTGTTCTTTCAGGCCCGTACAAAAGAATTTATAAAAATCTTTGTGCCTTTTAGCTTCGAATAAATACAAAGTTTGTGATATTTTCAATATTAAATATTTGTCCCGAAGGAATCTTAACATGTATTTGTTTAAGGGTAATATTACTCTCATGTAGCATGAGAGTAGTTCTCTCATGTTACAGAGAGAATCCAAGTAGGGCCCGCTATTTGAAAGTAAAAAAGAAAAAGAAAAAAGGAGGGACACGATTTTCGAAGTGAGAGAAAAGGAGATAACTACCTCATGTAAAATGAGAGTAGTATTTCTCTTTGTTTAATTATCTTAACCAATATACAGCATACTAGAAAACAAAAGGTGCGATTTTTTTAATTCATAGAACGATTTAAATAAGTTCTGTTTAGAATATATCAAAAATCAAAGAATAACGTTGCCATTTATCAAATTTTATCACTCAATATACGGTATATCAGGTAAATTGCTGTGTAATATCTCAATGTATGGGTGTTCAATGAGGGAGTGATATAGATAACAACTCAAAAAACGTCAGTGTAAATCGTGACAGAAGAGAAGGGGGTGTGTATATTGTAGAGAATAATAAATCATTAAGTGGTCACAAGTTCCATCCTCACTAATACTAATTTTCTTTAAAATTAAAATAAGCACAAAGTAAATAAAAATATATATCATGTGCCCTCTCCGTGGGACAAGAGAAGTTTTATGGGTCTCACTCTTGTATTGAGACACTGTTTTACCACGACGGTGAACTGTTCAGGGAGAGTGGAGAGTGGAGAGTGGAATCTCCTAAGGTGATATCTATGGACTCACATGTGGAGCGCTATGGGACAGAATTTTTATTGGGCCTTAGACGGCCAACACATACTTGTTGGGCCTAGGTGGACCAGCCATGACAAAAGACCCCAGCTTGATAGTCTGTGAATTCAAAGTACCAAGATTTATAAGAACTTAGTCCGGTCGTCCATAGCTTGCAATGTTTTCTATACGAATACAATGGTGTGGCCAATCGGTCACAAGCTTTCAGGTTGATCTTCATGGCTTGTTGATTTCTCGTTGTGTATGGTTGGAGGATGTCTTTGACCGGCAGGTTAATTAGTTGGTGTTTTATGTTCCCGTTTGTTTTCCTTGTTGTTGGTTCTGGATAGAATTTGTTAATTTGTTCTGGTTGTGCTTTCTAAAAACACCATGTAACAAAAGGCATGTTTTAGGGGAGTAACACTGTACGTTATAGAGGTTGTTCGGCTCACCATTATTCTATTGAGATTTACTTATCTCACATACTTTCACACTCCCTCAACTCCTTTGAAGATGATTTAGCTACTCCTTGCCCAAAACAAATTCTTGGAATTTTTTGAGAGTTAGAGGAAAACCGCCTCCTCTTCGATGATGGATTAGTCTCACATTTTTCTCGTAACAGTTGTTCAATGCACCTTCTGTTTCAATGATGAGCAAGCCTTATAGGGGCAGTAAACAAGGTGACTGGAGAAGGTTGTATGAAGATACCTTCCAGTTATCTACCAAAAAAAACGAAATAGTAAATCAACCCAAAATATAAATAAATAATGAATTAACCTACAGATTGAACCTAAATAATAAATCACCCAAAATCATAGTATCTCATAGTGATTACTCCCTATCCTTGGCTTATGTATGGAGGTGGCCTCGATAGGAAATGAAATTTGCTCATTGCTTGTGTTAGTGTAGTTGCCACATTATGTTGATGTTGATATCATGGTGGCCTGCGTGTTGGTGACATAAGCTCTCAATTATTTGAGGTTTCACTCTTAGAGAATGAAAAATAAAGAATATGAAAGAAGATCAAGGTTTATGTTTAGTTTTTATTTGGTTGAGTTTTATAAATTGGAAACCCAATTGATTTTTTTTTTAAGTCATTGGAGCTGACAATTAGGTGTTGGTTTGTGTTCTGGAATGAACATTAATTGTCTAGTAGGATAGCTAGTATTTGTATCTACGGAGCTTATGGTAAAGATGACAGGCAATGAGAAGTCCTGCACCTTAGGCCAAAGTCCGATGGGATGAACAAGGGGTGTGTGTGTGAGTCACCTGCGGTGGATAGGATGTGCTCTGGGTACAAGTATGTAGGTGAGTTATCAGATCCCCTCTTTGTTAGCTATAAGGGGTTATATATAGATGACTGCACCAGGAGATTGTGCTCCTAGTGGGTAGTTTGCAGGTGACTTAATGGCATGATGCAATGCTAGTGGGTGGTTATTGCTAGTAGATGGGAGTTAGGAGAGAATGGTGGAATGAGATGCTCCATGTAGTGGGGATAGGAAGTGGGTACCACATAAGTGGTCCACAACATAAGCCCCCCAGCCTGGCATTGCGCATAGTCAAAATGCCGGGGTAAAAGTAAAGCCCCCGTGCCTATCAAATAATGTTTAGTGTTGTGTAAAAGGATATGAATGCCGGGAAAACCCAGCTTGTGAATGCTTCCGAGTTTCAAGTTGTTTTATCGTGTTGCTCGTTGGTTGTAGTCATCTCCGAGTTTGTAATTGCTTCCGAGTTTGAAGCTGAGTAAAGTGTGAGAACCCTATATGATCATGTCTTGTGCGCTGATTAGGATCTTTCAGAATCAAATGTTCAATAATTTTCCCGCTTCCAATTAGGAAAAAGAAGGGTGCCCAAAGGTCTTCTAGTAAACCATTTTTTATCCCGGAGGGCCAGTCTTCTTTTGGCGGCAAGGGACTTTTGTTTTCCCGTTTCCGAGTAGGAATTGAACGGGTGCCCAAGAGGCCATTGAAGGCGGCAATGGACTTTTGCTTTCCCGTCTCCGAGTAGGAATTGAACGGCTGCCCAAGAGGCCAATTAAGGCGGCAAGGGACTTTGTTTTCCCGTTTCCGAGTAGGAATTGAACGGCTGCCCAAGAGGCCAATTAAGGCGGCAAGGGACTTTTGTTTTCCCGTTTCCGAGTAGGAATTGAACGGCTGCCCAAGAGGCCATTGAAGGCGGCAAGGGACTTTTGCTTTCCCGTTTTCGAGTAGGAATTGAACGGCTGCCCAGGAGGCCAATTAAGGCGGCAAGGGACTTTGTTTTCCCGTTTCCGAGTAGGAATTGAACGGCTGCCCAAGAGGCCATTTAAGGCGGCAAGGGACTTTATTTTCCCGCTTCCGAGTAGAAATTGAACGGATGCCCAAGAGGCCATTGAAGGCGGCAAAAGGGACTTTTGGCCCTGCTTCCGAGTAGGAAATGAGCAGGTGCCCATGAGGCCATGGAAGGCGGCATGGGACTTTTGGCCCTGCTTCTGAGTAGGAAATGAGCAGGTGCCCATGAGGCCATGGAAGGCGGCATGGGACTTTCTGCTTCTAGCCATATTGTGATTTCTTTG